TAAAGAACTGATCACTTATTTATGTTTTTAATCAGATTTGATATATTTATTTCTTCAATATTATTTTTCATGTCAGTGTAACATAGTTAATATTGTATAGAATTCCACTTGTCATTACTTCCCAGTTTGGGTTCATGTGTAAAGGGTGAAACAGCACCCCCTCCTGGTGGTTGGCAGGGTTAAATATAGTGAACGCAAACATCTCGTTGCCAGTTCATGAGAGATGGGCGCGAGGTAGGTTCACTGAGTTTAACGCTCCAGTAAAATGCTATGTTAGCTTGTTGCTAACATGAAATGCTGTCCCTCGTAAGGTGCTGAACCCGCTGTGATGAACCCGATTCCTGATCAGTCCATATTCTGTTTCGCACAGGTACATGTTGTGTTATTTCTTTGTATTTCTGTCCAATATTAATGTATTAAATACGGCTGTTGGCCAGTTCATGAGAGATGGGCGCGAGGTGCTGAACCCGCTGTGACGAACCCGATTCCTGATCAGTCCATATTCTGTTTCGCACAGATAAACGACGTTTCATCTCATCCTGTCTCCTGGCCCTTATTCACACAACGCAGAACTGATTTATGCTGATCGATCAGAATTACCGAGGTTACATCAGTGTTAATGTCATGAGGCTGATGACTCCATGACACTTTCAATTTGACTCATTAGGATTTGAATAAGAACCAGATTTGTTCTTTGTAATTTCTGTCCAGTAAAACTATTAATCTATAAATCAATAGACAGGTCTATATAAATATATAATCCATGTTTCTGTCTCATATTTGTATGGCATTAAAAGGACCTGGAACTTTTGTTTTTCCACTGAAAGCTCTGGTTTGCACACTAAATGCCATGTGGGTGAATGTTTATGGATGATACTCTGATGTCCCATTCTCCTGAAGGCAGCACATAGCTGCACCACCAGAAACTCACAGAAACACTGAAGAGAAGAAGAGCTATGATTAATGTAGTTACAGTTCTATCCATGTTTTAATGTTGCAGAGCTCAGTCGGTTTGCAAATAGTTCAAAGTTTAAACTGGCATGTTGAACATCTTTTACCTGGTCATTTTGTGGAATATTTAACAACTAGAAAATGGCAACAAGAATATATTTTCCACTCTGATTGGCTGCTGTTAGGCCTACCAATTTTAACTTGAATGTTCATTGCATTTTTCGTAGACGCCTGTGAAAATAATTTCTATTCCCATTACTTTTTTGTTCTCTGGGAAATAATTTTTGATGATGAATACAGAAACAAGCATAAAAATCAAAACATCTACAATAGTGACAGTAATATTAATAATAAAATAATGGTCAGTGCAAAGTAGCCTGCAAATTCTTTGGTGGGGGGCGGTGAGGGACCTGAATAAAGGCTAGGGGGGCGCTGGGCCAAAAAAGGTTAAAAAACACTGGGCTAAAGCTTTGTGTTAATTAACCCTCTATGGCATGACTTTTTTATTTTTTGGGGGGATAAATATTTTCTTCCATTCTTTGGGAACTTGTTGGTCCCTAATTACATATCAATCATAAAATCAGACCCTGACACCTCCCAGAACCGGATTTGGGTTTGTTGCCTCAGGGCAACATTGCGCTACAAGGGCCTAAAACGCCAAGTTTTCTACAGTGATTATGAGAAATGAAATACAAATCAAACAAAAACTGTATTCATAAAAAAAACTTTTTTTTGACAAAAATAAATCAGACATGGTTCCAACTCACAAAATATAAAATAAACAACTAACTTTCATTAATGAATGGTACATTTGCGCAAATTACTAAAACGAGCATTTGTGTGTTTGTACATGTGTATGTTTGGCAGAGTTAGAATCACTAAGGATGTTGAAATCAGTCTTTTTCCCTATTATATGTTAAACAAAAGTGTGCATCACAGTTTTGGCACTTGATTATTGGCGTACCTGGGAATCACCATCTGTTTATCTGATTATCTATGGGTTGTAGCGACCAGATTCACATCAGTGACAGGACTTAGGGCTGCAGGTTCTTTTTATAAGAGTTTGTAGGGTAACACTTTATTTGAAGGGGGTTGAATAAGACTGACACTGTCATAAACATGACATAACACCTGTCATGAACATCAATNCAGAGTGAGTTATCTCCCCATGAGAACAACAATTTCGTTGCCAGTACTCTGAGGTACTCTGTCTTTTTTTAATTCTGTGTCTTTAGAAGGTAAGTGGCTGTACTGGAGTCTTAATAGATGCATTAGGCCACAGGTCTGCAACCTGCGGCTTGTGAGCTGAAAGTAGCTCTTTGTAACATCCACAATGGCTCTTTACAAATTTGGCTAACACAAAAGCACCAAAAAATTTTTATTTTAATATAGATGTAACAACTGTAATTTTTTTTAACAGTTTTACAGTATTTAATAAATTCTGCCTTGAGTTTTTACAACAAAATGACACAGCTGTCATTTTGTTGTGAAATCTTTTTTTTTTATGTTTTACATAATTTTCTACAACATTATCTTCCCGTAGAAGAATGATGCATCAGTTCTTTTTTTGTAAATGTTTTGTTTTTTGTTGTCTTAAAGCCTAAAAACAGAAACAAAATCAGGATTCTTTAAGAACGACCACGCACATTTCCCATGATTGATATTTATTAAAGCATTTAAGTTTGCCTTTCAGAGAAGGTTATATTACATCTTTTGGCTCTTAGTAGCTTTTGTTTATCTGAGGCACTTTAGTTTGTAAAGGCTGCAGACCCCTGTGTTAGAGTAACAGGTTCAATAGAAATGCACCTCGGTGCTTAGATATTTTATTTGAAAAAAAAAAAAAAGTATAATTTGTCCTCCAGTTTAGTTATGTACTGCTCAGCATACAATTCAAGGAAGTTTGTGTTTTTAATGTGACAGGAAGTGAAAATCTCTAAGATGGAGGAATACTTTAGCAAGGCATTAAATCTTATCTCAGCTGAATGGATCAAATCTTGTAGCTCAGGTTCATGCACATTGCTATGACGCCTCTTCACTCTCTGTCACAAACGGAAGGTTTTGGATCTCCCATTGGTTGAAGACAAAGTTGTACAAGCTTTCAGGAATAACTTTTTTCAGCTCCTCCTTTCTCCCTCTGATGTGTTTCAGATAAATATTACTTTTGCAAATATCGCAAAGTGTCTTTGGCTGCTGGGTTAGTTGGATCAGTTGCTCTCTCTGTTTAAAGAAGCGTGGCTGAGTTAAGGTGGAGGGTAAGCGGCCGTCGTGGCTGCATACGCTGAGCGGAGTGCTCAGGGTGAGGAGTTTGATCAGCAGGGAGCCGTTCCTCGTGTTAGGTGTGTGGTTCAGGAACAGGAACAGACAGCTCTGCCCTGCTGCGCTCAGCTTGTTGACACTGGCTCTGTATCGCAGCAGCAGGTCCACCAGCTGCTCGTTTCCCAGGCTGCACGTTTGGTGGAATGGCGACATGCCGGCCTCGTTTACAATGTTTGGCTTTGCTCCGCGCTCCAGCAGCTCAGAGACACAGCTCACGTCTTCATCCAGGACTTTGGTTGCTTTTGTCATCACTGCAACTGCAGCGAGGTGCAGAGGAGTGTTCGCAGAGTGATGCATCCTCTGAAAAACAAAGTTTCATTCCATAGATAGTTAAACATAGCATTCTTTAAAGCAGGGATATAATGTAAAATTAACCTTTTTGAGCTTTATGTCATGTCATGATGTCATTTCCTTGTTAAAACATATCTGGGGTGTTGCTTTGATTCTTTTATGAATGTTTGAGGAAACCCTTGATCTCCCATGGCAACCACTTGGGGGTACCTAAATATTTGCTTTCATAAAGCTCCTCCTCTGAGTTGTAGTCTCTAGCTGAGCTTCACCCCCACCACCTTCAATTAGCTCCTCCAGACTAGCAGCAACAGCAATTGGCAACAGCTGATGGAACTTCACATATGCTGAGTTTATCATCCCAACTACCTCTCAGCCCAGCCCTCCCAAGAAGAGAAGTACTGTTATGATGACGTGCTGAAGGTGGAGTGAAAGAGCAGGAGCTTCTTAAAGGGACAGAGGACAACTTGGGGCCTGATGGTATGGCTGAAAAACATCACGATATAATTGCTTAATATCAGTTGATATTGATAGTTATTGATTAGTCTTTTGGTTTGAATATCTGAAATACTGCCACACTAGGGTCATGACCCTCCTGTTTTATCCAGTTTTCACTCAACACCCTTCTTTATTATTTTTAAGAAATCCAGCATGGCAGCCAAAACTGCTGCTCCAGCAAGTGTCTCAAAAGGTTGTTGCTAGGTAACCAAAGAATGAGTTACTCATGCCACCCAGCTTGTTCAACTGGCTGTGAGAGGTCATGTATAACATACACAGCATCGTGGTTATGCTGTAAAATGGCACTATGTGCTTGGAATATACACGATGCTGCCCCTTTAAGACTTGTTTATAGGTATGAGTTGATATGTGTGAGTAAATACCAACCATGTTGACGTCAGCTCCGTGGCTGATTAAACTAGATGCTATGTCCTGATGGAGGATTGATGCTGCCATGTGCAGAGGTGTCATTCCACTGCTGTCCACTGCGTTCACGTTGGCGCCGCAGCTGATCAGCAGCCGCACAGCAGACAGCGCTCTGTACCGCACTGACAGATGGAGAGGCGTTTGCTGACTCTGATCATCCATCTAGTAAGAAACAACAATTCAACATTGGCAAAATTCAGTTTTAAAAATGTCATTGTTTATTTTTTTATTTCATGTTCAGAACTTGCGTAGAACATGTTAAACCTCACCTGCGTGTTGACGTCAGCTCCGTGCTCACAGAGCAGCCGTAAACAGGCTTTAGCCTGCCTGCTTGCTCTCGCCACAGCTGCCCAGAACTTGGAGGAAGGTTTTGTCGTGGTGATTGGCCAGTTGATGATGACCAAATGTAGCGACGTCCGACCCAGCTTGTCCCTGTGGAATAAGCATAGTTCGTATCTGTGTTCCAAAACCAGACCAGTGCACTCACTGTCTGGACTTTGTGGTTTTGTTTCATTTTTCGTGGTTGCTCTCTTAACAGGAAGTGTAAAAAATATGGTAGAGCACAGCAGCTCTCAGATTCTGGTCGCAACGTGTGTGAACTTGTAAACCTGTATCTGGGATGTTTGTACGCACTTGACTTGAACATCGGCTCCAGCTGACAGCAAACTCTGCAGGCTGTGGACTCTTCTGTAGGTAGCAGCCAGGTGGAGGGGAAGGATGGCAAAGCCCTAACGCAACAAGAGACATCCATGGACCAGCTGTGTGCATGAGCTACCTTTGTTTTATTTTCAAGCACTAAAGATGTAGTTCCAACATTTCTGCTAGCATTTAGCCTTTTTACGGTGCTACTTGTTAATTTAAGTTTAAAATTGTTTCTCTAAGAAGCCATTTCCAAAAAATGGCCTTACCTTCCAGAACACTCCTCTTGATGAACCGTCCTGTATCTCTATCTGATTGTTGCTCCCATACTTCTTTACCATGTTTTCTATTCCTCTAACATCTTCATCCAGCACAGCAGTGTAGAATTCATTTCTGTAAATATTAATAACTTTATCTCTCTTATCTCTGCTTTGGTCCTTGCTCATGGTGGAGGATTTCAGACTGACTCCATCGAGAGTCTTCTTTAAGACTTCCATTGGTTTGATTCTAGTTATTCTGGTTTTTCATAGCAAAGACTAAATCTAAAAAGAAATATCAACAACATCAACTTCCTCCTCCCTGTGTTTGGTGTTCTCATCAACTACTTCTCCTTCTGTGTTTGGTACCGAGTCATTCTGACCTAACATTGCCGTTGCGGCCCAGTCCCATCTGATAACCCAGGCTGCGTTCGGGGCCTGTGATGGGGGCTGTTGACACCCACCGGAGGAGTTTCCTCTTCTTGTTGCAATGTTTCTGATGATTGTGTTTTTTATAGTTACTGCTTGACAAAAACTTTCAATATTGGTTTTGTTTTTTGTTTTTTTTTCTTTCAAAAGTAAATTGATGGACAAACTACTTTTTTGTTTTATTTCAACACTTTCATGAATGTTTATGTCATAAAAATTGGGACTGGAACTACCCATTATTTTACTATTTGCTTATTCTGACGATTAATTGGATTATACAATTTTAGAAATCTATTTTATAAGATTCAAATAAACAAATGATTCATTTTTAAATAAAGAATAGAACATTGAACTGCCTAAACAGCATTCCTTTAGTGACTGCTTCATCATTTGTAGCAAAGGATGCATCTGCAGCTAAAAAAAATCTGTCTGACATCAACATGTGAACAGCTCAGCACTTTCTGCTGGACTGAACATCAGTACACAGTAAGGCTGAGCTGGTGGTTATATTTGGAATTATCAGATAAATGTCTGAATAACAAAAGGTTCATAATAGGAGATTTTCTTTCTGCAGAATTTGAACCAAGGTCGAGCAAAACCTCTGCCACTGGAGGAATTCTGGGTAGAAGAGATTTACAGACAAATGAAGTTTGTTTTATTTTTATCCTAAATGCAAAATGTATGTGTCTTGGTTAAATTATTCTTCTGACTGCGTTGTTCTTAAATAAAATGATTTTATGTTAACTTGCTTCACAAAAATATTCTCTATGCTGAGTAAAATTGCTGAGGCTAGCATTTATTTCTTACTATATTTATTTTGAAATGTTGCTGAATTCTTTATCATTTCTGGCTAACAATATTAAAACCCCCAGCGGAGCGTCTTAAAGCCCACATGTAGACGTGGAGCTCCAGACTGCAGAGCCCTACTTTATGAAACTAAAAACAACTTCTCTGGCCTCTCATTTAAGGATTTACAAACTGTTTGAAAGAACTCTAACTTGACTTAGAAAAAAGACTTAGATCCTGTTTATGGTTAAAATTTAAGAGTATTGTAGTATCTTCAAATTGTAGAGAATACTTTTTGCAGGGGCTTAAAAATGTTTGTACTAATGTTTTATATCAATTGATCTTAAATTTACAAGGCCTTGAAAATATGAACTTTTAAGCAACTATTAGGGTTTTAAAAAACTAAGAATAAGATCCTTTTTGTCAAAGTTCTGCACAATCCTACTACTATTTCATTATTTCTCAAAATCTGTTTCTCATGTCTCAGTGGTTACAAATGTCTCACTTTTTCTCTCAGAAAAACTGAATCCTACATGTGGATACATTATGCAAACTCAGCAGATGATGTGTTAGCAGCAGCAGCATAGTTCAAAAATGTTTCCCTGAAACTTTGGATTTCTTCTCTTTTACAACTGATCATATGGTAAACTAATCCTAATAACTTTGCCTTCTTTTGGTTTTTCCAGCCCAGGAACATTTTCCTCCACGGTCATGAATGCCATGTTCGGATCGGAGACTTTGGGTTGGCATGCAGGGATATGATAGTAGATGACCATAAAAGAACAATTTCTCCTGGTGATGGTAAATTATTAAACTCTTGTCTTATTACATTCTCACAACATACCAGTAGATGGTGCCATTTCCTCTGACTGGTTCTTTGTGTTTTCAGGTTCCACCCATACATCAGGTGTCGGCACGTTTGTGTATGCTGCACCAGAACAACTGAAAGGCTCTCATTATGATTCAAAGGTAATTAGAACTGTTACATTTTTTGTGTTGTGATTACATAGTTTATGAATGGATGATGTTTTAGATCAAAGGCATTCTTCTTTGCACATTTTGTTTTTTGAGCACTAAGTATAAATGTTGCTCTTGCAGTCAGACATGTACAGCGTTGGGGTTTTGGCTCTGGAGCTGTTCCATCCGTTTGGGACAGAGATGGAGCGCGTCCGGACCCTCGGGGACCTGAGAGAAGGGAAAATTACAGACTCCTTCTGCCACAGATGGCCAGTTCTGACTAAATACATCGTAAAGCTGACGAGCAAAGACCCCAGCCTTCGACCAGCAGCCAGCCAGCTGCTAGAGAGTGAACTGTTCCACAATAAAGACATGGTAGTATGGGATAAATATCTGCCTAATACTATTCATTTATTTCTTCAGAAATCTTGAAGTATGCAGATACAGTTTAGGATTACAGTGCATGTGTATACAGCACGTGTGTTTAGTCTGAAGTAGGTTTGGGCCAGATTCAGATATTAAGGCATAGTAGAGTTTACAACGTTACAAAATGACATACATGTGCCATCATCCAGTTCATTTAAAGTGTTTCAAATGAAGCCCCAGAGAAAGTTCTGGACTGATCAGTCTAGATCTAGATCTGTCTAGAATTCCCCCTCCCTAGGCTATTTCTGGACACTGTCAGCTGGCTGAATGACAACTATTTCTACTACTACATTTTTCCCTTACAGAGACATTTTTTCTGTAGGATACACTACTGAGCATTGGTACATCATACAGAAACGAGCTGATTCTTCTGAACGACTCTTTACCCTGTACTCTGCACACATCGCAGTGCCTAAGATTCTATTTCATTTGAAATTATATTTATTTAAACGGCAAATAAATAAAATCCAGCAAGTTTTTTTGTTTTAACTTAATACATATAATTGAACTTCTTATGTGAACCAATTAATATAAAACTGTATTAAGGATAAATGGACTTATTAGAAAAATTTACCTTTTCAAAAATTAATCCTTTGAATGGCACTTTGAAGTAAACGGATCATGAAGGTTTGGTTCCTGTCAAAGAGTGCCATCACTAATTAACATTCAGCTGCAGGCACTGCTAAGCTACTACTAGCGTTTTATGTTTTGCTTATGCCTCTTCTGTGTATCACTAAGAGATGTGTTGCCTTATATCCATAATGCTCCAGCATCACCTTCCTACACTTTCAGCACTGAAGCCTACACAGTTTAGTCACCACACAAGCAAGGCTGCCAAAAATATTGAAAAATTCCGTAGCTCTTACATGCCATATATACTGTATGACACTGCAACAGTATTTACACAACTACTTCTCTAATATCACAGCAATGGCCAAATATTGACATTACTTAAACTGATGCGGCACTGTTCAAATGTTTGGTCTACCCTAATCATGATCCACTCTCCTCTGAGTCTCCTTTGCTTGAAACCAAAAGTAAAACTGTCACCATAACCTACTTTCCAGTATCACTGCTGGCCCAAGCCTAGTTTCAAGTTCTCAACTGTGACTCAAAAAAGTGCCATCTTTTTTGGATCAACAGTGCTTTGTTCCACTTGGAGCGAAGACACCCATAATAACTACCAACCAGTTGTAATACTTATTTTCTTCTTTTTCAGGTCATCCACGGTTTACAGAAAAGAGTGGAAGAGCAGGAGGAGGAGATCATGCAGCTGAGGAGGCAGATCAGTCAGCTTCAGAACTCTAAAGTCACCGTTAGCTTCACTGAACTGGACAAAACCTGAGCCTAAAAAACATCAACAGATTGTCTAAACTTAATTTATTGAGCCTCTAATTTACTTGGTTTGACTTGATACAAATGTCTGCATGTGTGAACATCTAAGTGTCTTGTACTAGAGATGGTAGTGTTCTTTTTCCCTTTTTTTTAACATTTGTTTTATCCAGCTGCTAAATAAACCATCTCAGGTATTTCAAAAACACTGTGATATTTAATTTGATTTTAGTGTCTATGCAAAATGTCTTTCTTAGCCTGAGTCTCCCATTCTCTCCTGAGAATGTCAATGTTACGGAGTTCCGTACAATGTAAAAGTACTTTGATTTTTTATCTAACATCTTTTTATGCTCTTATCGCTATTTTATTCAATCTCAGTTTTTAAAAGATGATTTTGTACAGGCTACATGTAATGCGATTTGCTCTGAACACAAAAGTTTTCGGAAAATATAATTTCATCGTAGTTGTGCTGAAATGCTCGTGTTTGTAGTGCTTGCTAGATTGTCACTGTAGTGCAAAAGGCACAATAAGGTCAGAGTTAAGAACATGCGTCGGATATTTCCGAAACACGTTCTTCACGGATATGTGTCGGATGGACCTATCACAGACGTCGTTTCATGGCAGGTACCCGGATGTAGCCGTGGGGCAATTAGCTACGTCATTGTTCACCGGCGGACACCCGCTGGAAATAAGAAATGGATTTAAAACCGCTATTAAGGTGTTCATAACAGACTCCAGGTGAGTGCTGATTTGTTTTTACGGTCTAATGTTAGAATTGTTGAGTAACAGAGGCACATTAGTTGACCCAAACCGCTGGAATTCGCTGTAGTAGCCTAACACCGGCTCTCTGTCATGTCGGAGAGCAACGCAGTAAACGCACACAGCCACCGGTGTGGAGCCCATTCTTCAATAATCCTACTAGACAACCTGTTTGTAATCTTCACACGGATGAAACTTAATACAATTTAAAACCATACCCGCTAAGGTCTCTTTAACATGCTACTTTTTGCCACGGGACTCATCACCGTGTCAGCTAGCATCAACTAAGACAGCTAGCTAGCTTGCTCCGTTAGCCCCATTAGCCGGAATTGTGCCGCTGCTATCGTTTCTATCCTTCTCCTTTATAATGACGGGTTTGGTATCAGATTATTCATCACAACTCAGTCTTTTTTCAATGTTCGCAAACAAAAATTTTACACACTTCTCTGGACCCCTCCTCTTACGTGAGCTGAGCTTTACTGCGTGTTCTCTTTCGGTTTTAAAGCCGCTGCGTGTTAAAGGCCTTGCTACCGTCTGTTAGCCAATGTAAGTCTGTCTGTTGGAGCAGGTGGGAGGGAACAGCTGCAGTTTAACGTGCTATGCTTCTAACAAGGAAATGTTCCCGTCTGGGTTGTGTAACTTCCAGGGGTAGTTGGGAAACAAGTTTCAAATTTAATAAATTTTAACAGGTAATATTTACTTTTTCTTTTTCATACGCCAAATCTTTACATAATTTTTTTTACAGACGCGTAAAACAAATTTAGACTTACATACAGCTACTTTGCTCATTTTTCAATATTGTGATTGTGAAATAATCATACATAATTTAGTTTTGAAGGGGAAAAATAGCAAGTACTATGTAAGCGGCAAACTGATCAGGTCAATTACAGTGTTTTTTTTCTCCGTGATGCCAATTTCAAATCTTGAATTGTCTAAAACATTTTCTTTTATCCAAAGTTTTGATTCACCATACTGCTAAATATTGCCTTAAGTGAATCAATACAAATTATCACAACAAAAATCTACATTTTATACAATCTTACTGATTTTTAAAAAAAATAGTAACACATTTTGTCCCACTACTAAAATGTTGAATTAGTTATCTT